AATATTTATATATTTTATTAGAACAGTGAACACTTTCTACTCATTTTTAAACTATCTTTTTGCGCACTTGACTTGCAACCATTTTTGTACAACTACTTTCTAAAATCTATAAATAATTATTATACAAGATATAATCATTATAACTTATTATAATAATAAAATCGAATTATTCTAAATGAAACTATTTAGGATGTTATATAAATTCTGATATACTTTTAATAACTTTTCCTTGTTTAACTCATGTGTATCCTTTTATTTAAGAGTAACTATTTTTATTTATACGTTTGAACCCTTTAAATATATATTACAGTACAAATTGGTTGATTTATAAGTAAATATCTTTAAAGCTCTTGATATATTTTTTTACCAAACCAAGGTTGCAGATGTGGTTACAAAATCTGAGTTAGATAGTTGGCAAAAGGGATTGAAAATGGTGGCAGGATAATGGTCCACAACTTTGATTATTCAAAGCAGATCCTTTAAACCCCCTTTTTAAATATCTAAAAGTGGTTCTCACTTTTACTAATGTCACTCTCACAATTGCTAAAGTACAAGTTATATAAGATAGTGTTTAAATACGTTTTATTATTATTTAATGTTGTGCTCTTTATATAATTAGTAATAAATTGATTGTATGGTAAGTTGTAAAGATTTTAGTTGTCGTTCGACAAATAAGTGGTGATTTTTTTTATTTAAAATTTTATTTATTGATATAAGATATAATATTATTGTAGTTATCATATAAATCTAAAATATACATTTTATGAGAAATTAAATATTTTTGTATCTTTGTTTCTATTTTTCTTCTTAATTATTTAAGATGATAACAAGTATAAAAGATTAATATCTCAGTCAAATTTAAATTAAATTGAATGATAATTGTCACTATCTAAAATAAGTAGGAAGATAATAAGAACAAAAGTAGAAAAATATTTAATTTCTAATATTTTTTATATAAATGGGTTTTTTTTAATAGTAAGAACCATATCACTAAATAAATAGTCTAAAAACAAGAATGTTGTAAAAAAAATGTTTTCATGAAATAAAGACTTCTTATTACAATTTTAGATTTAGATTGTAAATAATTAGTATAAATTCATTTTCAAAACAATTTAAGCATCCTCTTAATCACGAGTAATATACATAAGCATACTTTAATAATATCATTACATAAATCATACATAACAATGATATAAAATATTGTTTAATAAGTCATAAAACAAATAATGATCTGTACATCCTTGCTATAACTGACACCATCAATGTATAAAAAATAACAATAAAAAAAGCCTTTTTAAAACATTAAGTGGAAAAAGTTAGTTAGGGTGTAATAAATTGGTTTTAATGGGATTCGTCATTGTTTTGGCTTTGTTGACCACCTCCAAATTTACAAACACGGTTGTCTAAAAAGGTAATTATAACACAATTATTTATGGTCTTTATAGATGTACTTTACAATTGTCACTAGTCACTACCATATTTAAATATTATACAATATACAATATAAATGTAATAAGATAATTAGATATATGAGTGGAAAGACAAAAAAGATAACTAGCAATATGTTACAAAGATTAGAAAAACTAGAGCATGTTAGCATGGACAAAACATGATCGTTTATATAGATAAAGCTGCTGCTTTCATATATCTACTTGTGACATAAGAAAAATATGAACCTCTAATGGAACAATACCATTTGTGTCCAATCTAAGCTAGACATATTTGCTCTATGTATCCAAATAAACAAATTAAGTTAAATTTCATCCGTCATTTTTGATCGAAAAAATATTCACCTTTTTTAGTAGTATTGTATTCCTCGTTTATCAAACAACCAAAAAACCGAGTAGACCAGGGCATGAAGAAACCTGGATTTTTAGTTGTGTGAGGGGACAACAAGGTTAAAGAATAGTTGGAGCAAAAATGATGGCCCTAAATCCAATCGCACCAGAAAAGAACACAATTCCAAATTTCAAAGACGTTCAAACAACTAATGAAAACATGATCAACAGTCTCCTACAATGATATATAAAACAAAATAAATTGATCGTATAGTGACTCCTTTGTGCCTTAAAATTGGAGATAAAGTAATATGATTATTGAGCTTTCTTCAAGTGAAGCAACTTACTTTAGTCAAGCTCCAACTGAACCAAGAAAGAACTATTCCAAGCCTAATTCTTCGATGAACTAACAAAAAGTGAAACTTTATGAGAGATATATACCAAAAGAAAGAGTTTGATTTCCAATTATTAAGTATAACATTTAATTGGTGGGATGATATGAGATCGATTAAGGGCAAGTTCATGTTAGATTTGACTAGAAGACTAATATATGTAAATGGAACATAAGCGGCTTCATAATTAAGAAGATTGATTGATCGAGAAATCTCTCGGTTATCAACACAAATACCAAAGAAATTGCTTTTGAAAAAATTTAACTTTAAAGTGGATGCAAGACGGAAACATCAAAGGATCCTAATATGGTTAATAATCTTAATCGAGGACCAATCGCCAATAAACATCACATCATTAGGAAAGGAAACATGAAGGTTGATCACGTTTGAATTTGGAATATCCTTTATTTGATTTCATTAGTTTTTCTTTTGCTCATTAGTGGTGGTTTTCATATATGACTAGTGGTTGTTGTTCAAGGTGAATGAGGGTGCAAGTCGTGGATTCGGAACTTTAAACATTGAATGGTGGGGTGGGGGTAATATTGGTGGTACCAATAAATTAAATAATAAATAAACGATATAAATACATAAGGGTATAAAAGAATTTCCGACATGGTATGACCTAAATTCAAAACCAAACCAAACCATATGAGTATTCCTAGTTAAAAAGGAGTTAAAGACCAAACAATAGATTACCCCAAACCAAAGGACCATTCATGTAATCTACTCTAATTTTAATAAATGACATACTTCAAATTAGTTGATATGTTTTAGATATTTTTCCGTGTCTTTTATTATGAATTTTACCGATCCTTCCGGTCTTTCTAATCTTAATGACATGAATGTAACCAATGATACCATGATCTCCAAATGAATATAAAAACATTCATGGAAAACATTTGAGTTGCTTTAACTTCGATGTTTAATCCTGATTCCAAATATGTATTTGTGTGTAACATCGTGATTTTGGGGAAAAAAATAAAAAATTAAATTAAATAATAAGTTAAATAGTAAAATAATAAATAATAACTATAATAAAGGAGTTGGTAATTTGGTTAAGTTTAAATAATAATTTTTTTGAATATTTAATTGTTGAAAATGTATTAGATTAAAAATGGAAAAATAAAGATAAAGGACTCTACTTGACATAGTTAAGGACCTAAAAGTTAAATAATGGTAGAGTGTAGCAAGAGTCTTAATATTCAAACTTCAAAAGTCAACTTCCTTGTCGTGGCCATCCATGACCATGTCGTGGCCCACAAAAGACAAAATAGACGATAAATCCTCAATCGCCACATCGTGGCAACCTAAGGCCACGCAGTGACCTTCAGTCTGAAAATCTTTTCTTCGATAAGAGCTTAAACCATAAAGAGCAACACTCATGACATCATATCTGGTTCCTAATAGCTTTATAATGGATAAAGATTCCAACTTTATCCATTTTAATGGTCCAAACAAACATGATCTAGTTTTTAAGTCTTAAAAGGGACCAAAAATGCATCTTTCTTAACTTAATCCATTAAGTCCAAGTCTCCAACCTTCTGAATCAATATGATGTTTAGATGGATAAAGTCTCCAACTTTATCCATAACAAGGTCACAAACTTTCAAGATCTAAACTTTATGCACTAAAGTAACAAAAAAGTGACAAATATGAAAATCAACAAGATCTATGAAACTAATGAGCAAGTTTGAAGCTTTTTACTCACAATGGTCCAGAAATATTGTGATCTTACTGCGTCGATGCTTGAATCCTTCTTCCATACACTTTGTCACCACCTTGTTCTTGAAGATTCCACCTTTTAATGGAGAAATAAGCTCATAAATGATGTCAATAATCAAAATAGGTAAGAGAAGGCTACGGTTTCGAGTTAGAGGCTCAAGAGGGGTGGGAGCTAATGATAGGAAGGACCCCCAAGGGGTTAGAGACTATAAATAGGGCTTAAAATCCTAAAATTAGAGTTTTTACACTACATAATTACACCCTGCGTAAATTTAGGTATGCCCTGCATACTCCACTAAAAACATGTCCCACCCTTAGCATGTACACCCTGCCTACTCCCTTGTGTATACCCTGTGTACTACCAGACTCCCTTTTCCTAACTTCAAACAATCATAACTTCTTCGTTTCAACTCTGTTTTCGATGATCTTTATATCCATGTAAAAGTATCGACAAGCCCCACCACTCTATTTAGTTACTCATGACTAAAAACATCTCGAACTAAAATCATTAATTTATGCAAGAAGCCAGAAACATTACCTTTCCTATTTTACCCCTCAGCTTCCAACAAACAATCCAATGGTTAAATTAGTTATCTAACACCATCAACATCCAATAGAGTCTAAACTCCATTCCCTTAAAACCCAATTCCTTACATGTTTGAATTATGGTCCACAAATCCTGCATTAAGAAACATCCCAAAATAGGATGTTACATTTTGTCTTCCATTTGATATATAGATCAACAAGTGAGTATGAGAGAACCCTATCGTTTCAATTCCAAGCATTTATAAATAGAATTTGAGTTATGTTTGAAAGCTTAAGAAGGTTGAACCTAGGGATAAACTACTAACGCATTGATGTATAATCTCATTATTCCTATGCTCGAATTCAATCTATGGTTTGGCTCCAACTCCAAATCTGAATTCATGAAATCATTTGATGTTTTGAGTTAATTCAAATTCTTTAAATACACTCTAGATCATCTTGAGGTTTCCATTCATTCAACTGAGGGTTAAATTTCAGCTCTAATGATGAAATTGGGTTATTTGAACCCAAATCATATGAATGACATGTACGTAG